GGTTGCTTCTATGATTCTATGTTACAATGTAGATGATAAAAAGGTGATAGTGTGGGAGACAGTTCCTTAATATTATTTCAATGATTCAGAACTTAGGTCTCATTCAATTGTTAGAAAGAGCTACTACTGTTACTGCATACAAGAGTAGCTATTACTTTTTGGGAAGAAAATTACAGGTTCAAATCAGGAAACCTGTGATAAAGTTATTGATCTTATTTTTAAGAGTTCAGTTTACATAATAATGACAACCTCAGTCCTTAAAAACTATTACTCAACTGCAAAAGTCGATAACACCTTCCCAGTTTTTAATAGATACATTGGGCCTTGCTATTTAATGACATGTTTCCAAAAAGTCCCATTGGCACTACATTTCTGGGGTGTAACATCCCCATTGCTTGGGGTTTTCTCTCTGCCCTGCAGCTGCCCTAAAGCAGTCAGTGCTTTGGTGAAAGAAATCACTTTTCCTCCTTTGTCGGGAAAAAAATTGGGGGAGTGGAAACTAGGGCACGAGATGACAGCACATCTTGCTGCAGTCACTGGCCACAGAAATGTAAATGCATGCTTTTGCCAGAAAAGTTGCCTGCACGAGGCCAAATAGAGATAATTTTGCTACAGTAGGAAGAAACAGATGGATCACAGTACTCAAATGTCACGTCTTTGGCGTGGTCAGAGCAGCCATTTCACCAAGTAGGAAATTAGCCTTTGATGAGTGAAGTGAGTAGATTTTAAAAACAAATGAAATGAAAGGAAGCAGAAATCTAGATTTATCATTAACCCCAGCCACACTATACCAACCAGTGATCTCCCATAAGGGACTACTGAAGGTTCTCACCCAAGGTGACTGCTGTAGAAAACAAACTATGTAAGTCATAGAATCATGGAATCATGATCCTGAATCAACCTTCAAGATCAGCAAGTCCAACCCTACCATGGTTACTAGACCATGGCACTAAGTGCCACATCCAGTCTCATCTTAAAAACCTCCAGGGACGGTGAATCCACCACCTCCCTGGGCAGCACATTCCAATGCCTGAGCACTCTCTCCATAAAAAATCTCTTCTTCATATCTAACCTAACCCTCCCCTGGCAGAGCTTGAGTCTGTGCCCTCTTGTCCTGCTGCTGGTTGCCTGGGAAAAGAGACCAACCCCCACCTGACCCCAACCTTCTGTCAGGGAGTTGCAGAGGGTGAGAAGGTCTCCCCTGAGCCTCCTCTTCTCCAGGCTGAACACCCCCAGCTCCCTCAGCCTCTCCTCATGGCACTTGTGCTCCAGTCCCTTCACCAGCCTCGTTGCTCTTCTCTGGACCTGCTCCAGCACCTCAATTTCCCTCCTGAACTGAGGGGCCCAGAACTGCACACAGTCTTGGGAGAGAATCTTCAGTGACCCCCTCTGGGCCTGCAGCCCACTGCCATACTCTGCCTTTTTAGCAAAAGCATATGATAATAGCAAAAAGTAAAAGCTCATCTAGGGAGAAGCTGTAGGAATACTGCAAATCAATGACATAGCAGTACTGTCCTCACCTGTCATTAAGCACATTCACTTTGTTTATGGATCCTCTACACAAGAGAGAAGCCTTTACTCTCACCCAAAGCATCAGTCTGTATAGAAAATGCAAATCCTCTTAAGCTTCTGTTACCACAAACTGACTCTTCAGCAGATTTTTGTGCCTTTGCAAGAGAACTCTGAGGTGTAAGTGTCACTAACCTGAATCTCAGTTGACACTGTCGTTAGACAAGCTTATCTCACTAATAGTGCACATGATACCCATTGGCTTCCAGCAGCCTTTGGAAAAGGAGTAGGAATTTACTTCTGACAGTGTCATTCACCAGGAAACACTCTCAGTTTTCTCCAGAGCTGTGCTTTAGCTGTTCAGGTTTCTAAGTTTGTCAAGTAACAGTACATCTTGGTCCAGCCTGGCAGTTTCCCCTGTTTAGGGAGACCAGGACAGCTAGACCAGACAGCTGAGAAGTGAAGGGTTGGAAATGTATAAAAAGAATTTTCACAACTTAAAACCTTTATTTAAACTTACAACCTTGAACTCCATTCACACTGCAAACCCCCTTTGTTCAATATCTTGGTTTTTGTCTCTGCAGATAACCTGAGAGTTGGAGCTGTTGTGGAGAACACTCAGAATGGGAGGCAAAATCACTTATCTCCTCCTGCTGGTGGGAGCAGTCGTGACTGCCCAATGCCAGGTAAGAGGCTAATGCATCAAATCATTCTCTTGCCAGCCTCCTGTGTTTTCAGCAGCAGTTTACCATCAACTCCAGGTTGCCTGCAACAGGCAGAATCAGAATTTGCTTAGCTCACTAGAAATCAGAGGAACGAAAACATTTCAAAGCTGTCTAAGCTGGGATTTCCAGTAATGTGTTATCCTGGCTGGTTTCCATTTTGGCCTTCTTCAAGTCTTCTTAGTGTATCAGTTCACTGCCACCTTTCACTGTTAGTAAGAGTTTCATTGTAACCACCCCTTAGTTTTCTTTCTATGGTCCTCACCTTCATCATTACTCTCACAGCTCCACATCTGTAGTTCCCTTGTCCCCTCAATTTAAGCCTCACACTGCACAGCTTAAGTAAATCCTACACAATTCTGGAATGTTTAGTCTCTTTCTCAAAAACTTCCTCTCTCATCCTTCCTCCTTCTCTTTATGTTCTCTCTGCTGTGGCCTGATATAAGAAGCTTTTTTAATTAGTTTCTCCATAAAACTTTATCCAAAATATTTCATCTAATTGGCTTCAGGAGACATATCTCAAAGGTTATCAAGCTACAAAGTCTTATAGGGAAACTGCATGTTAATGAGCAAAAATAACTCCTTGTTCAATTTACTTTGGAAATTATTTGCTTGAACCTCCTTCAAATAGCAAAAAGCTGACAAACTTTAGTGCAATGCCCCAAGAGCACATTATGGTGCAGTGTGAGTACAGCACATCCCAAGCTCTCATCACTCAGGTGACAAGCAACCACCTGGTGATCTGTGGCGACTCAGTGATTTGCAATTCGGAGTACACATACTGAGGTACTAGAGGCACTTTTCACTGTCCTGTCTGACAAGAAGGGCAAACAGTTCCTGACTCATATGACCCCAGGAAGAAGACTGACTCTCATTGTCTCTGTTTCTTTAAGAGAGCAGCTCCTCACAGAATGAACCTTCTTTGCTTGCAGGGCTTACGTGTGCGTTCCAAACGGGGAGCCAGATCTAGAGGTAAGCCAGGCAAACAGAACCCTGTTACTTGGACTGTTATGAACACAGGAGGGGAAAGCACATGATGCTGAAGGAACAGAGCCTGAAAGCTGTTTGTCATGGTTATCTGGATGAGGGATTCAAAAGGCAAAATTTCAAACCATTAATACCATCTACAACTCAAAGAACAAAGTTTTCCTCTCCCTCTGCTCTTCAAAGAAAAAGAGGCTGGTCAATAGTGGAATAGTACATCTGGCAGCACAGCAGTTGCAGACATGGGACAGTTGTGGTCTGAGAAGGAAAAAGGGCAGCCCGTTAGACAGATGCTCCCATCACGGATACTTTTCTCCCAGAAACAGAAGGGAGTCCTGTTGCTCAGCCAGGTCTTTTCCCTGAATCTCTAAAAGAGTATTTCCTTTCTCCAATTGCAGCCATTTGCAAAGACAATTCATCTGGAGAAATTTACCAGCACAGGGGAACCTGGTTGAGGCTTTCAGGGAGCAGAATAGAATACTGTAGGTGTGACACTGGTCGGAGTCGCTGCCACACTGTGCCTGTTAGAGGTGAGTATGACAAAGAGAAAGGAAATGGTGAGGGATGAGACATTGTCCATCAAATTGTCCTAAAGAAGAACTCCACTGTCAGGGCCAGAGTTATCACACAGAAAATTTGGCTTGAAATAGAATAGGATAGAAGTGGAAATACTGATATATAAAGACTCAGGCAGGGCTAAGTGGGAGTGGGCAAGGGGCTGAGGAAGTCTCCTAGTAGTGTATGTGGAAAGAATGGAACAAAGGAAGAATGTAAGCACTACACAGAGGCTGTAAGCACATGGCAATAACAGGTCGGTAAGGAAAAATAGAACAGGCTAAAAGAGACTGGCAGGAGAGGAATGATGTGTATACATTGCCAGCTTCTTGCTTCTGTGCAATCTAACAGTATTTCCTGGCTTTTGCTTATTCCACAGCCTGCAATAGAAATAAATGCTACAATGGAGGCCAATGTTCACAGGCATATTATTCCCCACAACTCTTCATCTGCCAGTGCCATCAGGGTTTCTCAGGGAAGCAGTGTGAAATAGGTGAGTATACCACATCAATTACTGTGAACAGTGCTGTTGACTTTAGCTGGGCAGTGCAGAAGGATGAGGTACCCAGAAGCTCCTGCTGTATACTAAGCTCTCTATTAAGTTGCCTCTTTTTATTCTAAAGCTAACCCTACAAAGAACCTTTAAGAACACCTGCGCTGTTCTTAATAAAACTCTACATTTTGTAGCCAAAGACTTAAAGTCTGCCTGGCAAAGCGTTTTCACTGACTGCACAAGACATTTGAGAGCCAAGTTTAAACAGAATGCAGACTGGGGAAGCAGAGTTGGAATGCTGTCCTTACAGAAACATTTTGTTCCCTTTTGTTCAGATACCAAAGTTAAATGCTACAAAGACACTGGAGCGGCATACAGGGGTACCTGGAGCATGACAGAGAGTGGAACTGAATGTTTGAATTGGAATAGCAATAGGTTGATGGACCAGAGGTACAGCGGCCAAAGAGAGGATGCTGCTGAGTTGGGATTGGGCAATCACAACTATTGCAGGTGAGAAGCTGCTGCCACACAGGTCAGAGCCACAGGAATCAGCCCATTCTAAGAGCTTGGATCAGAAGAATGCCTGTTTGCTTAGTCTGACACCAAGCAGAGGACACTGCATAGGTGCAAATACAACACAGCCCATGAGCTGCAATTGCAACTTCTGTAAACATATATGAACTTCAGATCTATCTAGACTGGATGCTGATGACAGACTACAAAATGCAGACATCTCTCACCCCATAGTCCCTCCCTTGTCCCTTCTCAGTTCCTAAAGGTCCATTTGTAAGCCAGTTTCCTGCAGCTCCAGGTGCTGGTCAAAGCCCTACAAATATAGTGCCTCCTGCATTTGAACTAAGATGCACAAACATGCTGTCCATCTCATCTTCACCTCCATGTACTCCACAATTTTATAATAAAAATAGGAATCCAAACAACTTCAGATGGTTCAGTCCATGTCTTCACTGCAGAGCAGGATTCAGTTACTGAACTAGATTGCAGACATGGGACTATTGACAATAGCTTTATAATGATGCATAATATTGTAACTCTTGCAGAAACCCAGATGAGGATTCCAGACCTTGGTGCTATGTCTATAAAGGGGGAAGGTACACCTGGGAACACTGCAGTGTGCCCTCCTGTTCAAAAGGTGAATGCAGGGGGACAGGGAATGGACTTTGGATTTTCCATTATTCACTGTATACATAAGGGTTCTCTGTAAACTTTTGCTATTTCTGTAGCCTGAAAAGTCGAGACTCTCCTGTTAAGTCATATTTAAGCTTTTCATATGTATGACACCAAGAGACTGAGATATGTATAGCTAATATGTAGATGCCTTGACGGAAGTCACAGTTAGGAACAACTGACAGGTTCACATCCACTGGTTCATGTGCAGTTTTCTTATTGAAGTTAGGAACAACAACTGCAAATTTGGAAGAGGTACAGATTACCGAGGCAGCCACAGTGTTACCAGTTCTGGAGCTACCTGTTTGAAGTGGAATTCTGTAATCCTTATCAATAAGATTTATACTGCTTGGAGAAGAGATGCTTACCAGCTGGACCTTGGTAGTCACAATTTCTGCAGGTATGTAGTCGGTTATAGAATAAAAAACTAATCCCACCAAACTGTCTTGTGGTACTCTTAAGGTAGGGCTCTAGTCTCTTACATGGATTGTTAAAGCCCAGGAAGTACATTACTGCTGGGAATGAAGCTCACTGACACCTATAATTTTATTCTGCCTGACCTATAAATGCTGCTCTTACATCAAACTCCATAAATGCAAACTCCATGTGCCCTTAGGGCCCTCTGTATCTCAAACAGAATCCACTCAGGTCACAGTCTGCCACCTTTAGGTCTCTGCAAACTCCATGCAGATCTGCTAATACAAATATCTCTTCTCTTTCCTGTGCTGCAGGAATCCTGACAATGACAGCAAGCCCTGGTGCCATGTCCTGAAAGGAAATCAGCTCACATGGGAGTACTGCAAAGTGCCTACTTGCTGTAAGGATACTAGGACTCCTGATTCTTATCTTTCTTTGAGGCATTACTGTCCTGCATGTTATCTGTATTGAGCTCAAACCTCTTGAGAGAGGGAAAAAACCCAACCAAACAAAAGCAGCAGCTTTTTGGAGTAGAAAGAGATTCTGTAGCTCCACTCTCACAGTAGTGCCTCTTTTTCTGCCAGAAGGGAAGATTGCAGAAACAGAGGACAGGAAAGGCAGGGTTTCCTTACTGTATTTTTTAAATCAGAATACAAGTCTCCTAGGAAACAGGAATGAGTCAGATAATAAACAGCTCGCAGTAGTCTGCCTCAACATGCACTGGTGACTAACAGGCTCTTAACCCAAACTCAAAGCAAGAGTGCCTGAACAAAAAAAACCTGTTTCTGGGTTTGTCATCCACAGCCACCTGTGGCATCCGGCAGCACAGAGTGCAGCAGTACAGGGTCCAAGGTGGCTCCTACACAGACATTGCAGCTCACCCATGGCAAGCTGCCATCTTCGTGAAGTATCGCCGAGCGCCTGGAGAGCGTTTCCTCTGTGGGGGAATTCTCATCAGTTCCTGCTGGGTTCTGTCAGCTGCTCACTGCTTTGAGGAAGGGTAAGTTGAGGATTCAGTACTACCTGTGCGGAAAACTATCTGGGAAATGGAAGCATGCAGTACAGCTTTACTGGAAGGGTGTAAGACTTGGGGAAAAAATGCTCCCTCTTTATCCCAGTAAGTCAATCTGCACTAAAGGTTATAGTTAATTGTGCTGAGCAATACAAAAAAGCATTTATTGGAGAAACAAGCAGCATGGCATTAAGACACAAGAGCAGAATATCAAATAGGTGAAGAGTGAAGTTGTCAATACACATGCAGAGCCAACTGAAACTTGAGAACAGCCAGGGGCTGGCAGAGGAGCTGTGCCATGGTGGCTGTAAGCAAATAGAAAAAGGAAGGCAGATAGCTCACTTGAGGTCAAACTGCCTGAGTAACAAAGTAGTAAAAGTGCTAAAATAAGAAAAGCATCTTCAAGGGAAGGGTCCACTCTAGTTAACACGGGAACAAAGAATTTTTTGTTCTTCAGCTTTAGTTCAGATGAGCTGAAGATTGTGCTGGGTAGGACTTCCCGAGCAGCTTCTGAGGAAAATGAACAAATATTTCAAGTGCAGAAATACACTGTGCATCGGCAATTTGACTCAGAAAATTTCGACAATGATATTGGTAAGAACTTTTCCAATCTCATGACCGGAAATGTGGTTGGATCATGTTTGTGTCTAAGGAAGTGGGGATTTTTCTTCCCTCTTCAGCTCTGCTGCAGTTGAACTCAGATGCAGAAGACTGTGCTGTCGAAACAGACACTGTCCGTGCTGCCTGTCTCCCCACACCAGAACTGCAGCTGCCTGACTGGTCTGAATGTGAGATCTCTGGCTATGGCAGAAATGAAGAATGTAAGTAGAAGGCACAGTGTCCAGAGCTTGAGTCTCCTGCACTCAAGGAATTCAAGCCTTTAGCATCACTCAATGTATAGTGTAGCATATTGGCTTACATGAGCACTACAAAATGTATGTATTAGTAGGATTTGACACAAAAACAAGTGTTGCTGGAAGTTTGATGTACCATACAGTTGTAGATAGTAGCATTATTCTACACATCACATTGACTATGCAGAAATTAGCAAAAAAAAAAAAGCTAAAGAAATAACAATCCCAGATATAAAGGCTGACTAAGTGGTTTTTAAAGTGAGCTATAACAAACAGGAATAAAACCTGTCTGAGAGTATACACAGGCTGACCTGTATGTAAAGCAAACAAAAAAAAACCCAACAACCCCAGCTCTTACTTCTACCTCTTCTGAAAAAAATAATTCTCTAACTTGTAAACTTTTTAAGACAGAGACTGTGAGGAATCTGTCATGCCAGACCTAGTCATAGTTTGAATTCATAGTTTTGGAACATAAGTGTGGCATAAAGTGTTTTTAAAATGCTTTTAAAGCTTGTCCTCAGCATTGCTTGCAGGGAGTACAGGATAACTTCTCTGAGAGTAAAAGGACACTGCAACTGTAATTCAAAGTTAGACTGAAAAACAACAATCCTGCCAACTTTCAGTTTTGTGCAATTGCAGCTCTACAGGAGAATAAAACAAATATCCAAAATACACAAACAAATCTCTTCCATTCCAACGTCAGTGTAAGTTCCTGTCCAGTTACTCAGTATTGTGTATGACAAGGCATCTGATTTTTGTGACTGCAAGTCTAATACTAAAAAGTTAGAATTCTGTTTCATACTGCTAGTCATTTCCATAGAAACTTCCTGTGACTTCGTTGATTGATGTAACTGTGCAAAGTTGAGTTATCCACACAAGAAACACGGCAGTTTTTAATTTGGCAGCTATAAAAACCTCTTCACCTTGCTGAAGGTTTCTGAACAAACAATATTCTCTCTCAACTAGATTCAAGCTGTTCTAACTTGCAAAGTGGAACTCCCAAGATATAAAAAAGATCCTTTGGCGAGGAGATATTAGTTTAGTCATGGAGCTGCTTCTGTTGACTCTCCCCTAAACTACAGAAACTGAACTGCAATGTCTTTTTAAACCTACATACACATGCACAGACATATATATGTTTATATTGTCATTTTTCTTCCAGTTTCTCCATTCTATTCAGAGCACCTGAAGGAAGGTCATGTCAGGCTATTCCCGGCCAGTCGGTGCACAGCACAGCACCTAGACAACAGGACTGTTACAGACAATATGTTGTGTGCAGGAGACACGAGGAACCTGGATGATGCCTGCAAGGTAAACCCAATTCTGCTCCCCTTTGCTTTTTCTTGTCTCTTTTCTTTTCTCTGTCATTGGTAGTCTGAACTAACCAAACAAAAAGCTTCAGAAAATAAAGTTATGCATTTGCCTACATGGCAGTTCTAGTAGACTTTTGTTGAACAGAACTGATGTCTCCTCTTTCTTTTTTCCCCTCATAGATGGGAAGGTAGGACACACTTAACCAAGCAAACCAGAGCAACACAGACTGAAAAATCCCAAATACAGGAAATACCACAAAACTGAACAGGAAAATCCACCCCAGCATTTCCTAGTATTTTCAGTTATGTGAGCATGCAAAACACTCAGCAGGAGGTTCTGTGAGAGAATGGGGGTGTCTCTCTACTGAAAAGTAGAGAAGAATAAGGACTGAAAGATGGTGCAGAACCAGCAGCTATGACATGAGGAAAAGGGAGGGCATGCATTCAATCCACATCCTTTCTGTTTAAACAGCTCTTCAATAATTTTGCTTTACTGTTACACACAGCAGTATAAAACCCATTGAACCTTCCTAGCTTGAGTGACAGCCTTCCTCTTTCTATTCTTACCAACATCTCACCTACATTTCATAAATGGGCACCATACAAAGTTAGGCACTTCAGTGTTACATTTTTTTGGGTCTTTTCCTGTGAGAGGAGCATGGAGGGAGCCTGGATGACAAGTGACTTACGTAAAAGTGCTGTTACTAACTACTCTTGATTTGTAAGCGTACTACATATGTTTCACTAAACAAGTGCACTGCTAAAGCCAGTGGTGGTGATGGTGAAACAACACAAAACCAACCAAACAACAACTAATCTGCTGCTTCTCTGCAGGGTGACTCTGGAGGGCCTCTGGTCTGTATGAAGGATGGTCGAATGTACCTAATTGGAATCATCAGCTGGGGAATAGGCTGTGGCCGCAGAGACATACCTGGTGTTTACACAAAAGTGAATCGTTATCTTGACTGGATTCAGAACACCATGAAACCCTGAGAAAGAAAGATGAACTCTTCACAGTCTTGTGGCCATGTCCTCACAGCTTCCTTCTGGGTGCTTTAAGGATGCTGACAGAGCTTCCTGTTTGTCCAGATGCTTATGACTTTCAGTACAAAAGGAAGACAAACTGTAATGCATGGGAAGGGCACATTCTAAAATTACTCTTCTTTCCTTATTACAGGTTATCAGAAGTTAATCTTTTCTCCCCAACATCCCCAAGTTTTCTCCTTGCATCAAATCACATGATTACAATGAAAAATTAATTTTGGCCTGAGAGAACAAACCAAGAGAGAACATCATGCCTGCCTCAAGCAGCTATGTTGTTTTGGGAATGGGTGTGAACTGAAGGCAAAGGGGACAGATCTAATTTCCTGAGAACTTCATCTCCCTCCTCACTTGGCTGCAAATTTGGAAGACATTCCAGTCAGAATTAAGCTCTGTCCTAATACCATTTGACTTTGCTTTCAGCTTGACCCCAATAGAAAGAACAAAGCCATAGGCATGGGCTGCTTATCTCCTGATCAATACACTACTTGGTTTTTCAGTTTGGAACTGATTAATCAACTGAGTCCGAGCTTACGTGCCCTGAGCAAATCCAGGATGGCATGCTCGTTAGGACATTGCATGCTTTTCCTCCTAGTAATGGAACAAGGAAAAATTTTAACACCAGCCTGATCTGCCATGGAATCAACACATACTGTTTGACTATTACATTTCTATGCATTATCATCTCATATGAAAGCAAAAGCTCTCTCCTTAGTGCAGCAGGGCAGAACAAAGGGCAAGTGTAAGACTAGAAGTTTTAAGTGCCTGCTAAATTGATATTCACCAGTAAAGTCCAAATCACATGTCTTTTGAAAGAATACAGGACAGGTACAACCAAGTCACCGTGAACAAGAATCTGAGTAATCATAGCATTTAGGGGTTGGAATGGACCTTACAGATCATCTAGTCCCAATCCTCTGCCATGGGCAGGGACACCTCCTCACTAGACCACGTTGTTCAAGACCTAATCCAGCCTGGCCTTGAACACCACCAGGGTCGGGGCAGTCACCACATCCCTGGGCAACCTGTGCCAGTGTCTCACTGCCCTTATAGGAAAAAACTTTTTTCTAATATCTAACTTAAACTTTTCTTCTCTAATCAGCATTACTTCCTTGCATTGCAGCTGCCACGTGATGCTAAGTGGCATCTGTGCACATCCTGAGTGAAGCCTCTTGGAGAGCTTCTCTTCTGTATGAGTGGTTTATAAAGAAAAAGCAGGTGTAACAACTGTTTTACAACAGGAAAACATTAAATATTGAGCCTACAAAAGGAGTTTACCTTTAGTATCAATCAGGTATTATAGCTAGAAAAGTAGTGTGTTGTATTTGGGACATTCAAAACATTTTAACTCAAACTGTTTACACTATTTAAGGAGCTCACTGATGACCTACTAGCACAGCCTCTAGTCAAATAGACAAGTAAGGATAGGAGAGATTTGGTAAGCACAGCCATCACTTTCTCAAAGGGGTTTTGCAAATGGTCAGTTACTTTCTAGCTACCAGCTTAGAAACTGCTGTTAAAGAGATCTCCTCTAAGACCCTCAGAGGAACTGTGGTGCAAGTTCAGTTAGTTTCAGCAACAAGCCCCACATTCCAGACCGCAGGAGGGGAAAACTCTCCAAGATGTTTGTAATAGAGTCACACTTCAGATTTTTGGTGTGGTTTGATTTATTGTTGTTGCTAATTTTATTTTAGTAAGTATTAACCTTGAGAAAAATACAAATTAATTTCCATTCATCACCCCTAAACTCATTTCCAGTTGCTGTTGTGCCTTGGTACCCTGACATTCCCTGCCAAGTATCTGCAGCCTGTAAAACACTCTAAACTGTTCCACTGAGTAACCCAATTAAGTGTCCTCAGGAACACAGCTTCTGTTTCATAATTCAAAGAGTCTATTAAATACGATATGTGGGCTCAATGTGATCTAACAGCCACCAATAAAATGTAACTGAGCACCTGACAATGACCTCTTTTAGAAAAACAGAACCTATGAACATGTAAGCTGCAAAGAACAGTTTTACATCACAGCTGTTTACCAGCTCCTTGAAAACACCCTTACATGAAATATCTAAGTTGACAGAGAGCTACACAAGCCTTATGGCATGTCTGCACTTCCCCTGTTCCTTCCTTCCATACTAGTCTGTTTATACGACATCTCTGAAGCTGACTTACAAGAATGGCCCAGAATCAAACCCAAAGTTTTAGAAATGTTTCTTTATCCTTATTTTGTAATAGCTCCTTAATCTGTCTGATTTACCAAATCCTAGTCCAGCAGCTAGAACATATGTTCTCCACCTTACTTTAACTTGCATCTCATTTCTCAGGAGCTGCTGCCACCTAGCTCAGTGCATTTGACTGTATTTCTCTGGCTTATTTACACATTACATTCCTCCCTGATAAAAAAGCCCTGAGATGATTTCATTTTTACAGTGGCAACTTTTCCAGGTCTTAGCCTGTCCTACTTGGCCTCTTCCAGCACATAAGAGTACAAGGTCCAAGAATGATGACTGCCATCTGCTTGCCTCCTTTCTCCTGACTTTGCAGTTGATAGTGTTGTATTCGTTTCAGAACTTGAGTCAACGTCAGCATTTAACTGTAAGTGAAGTACACAGCTACACCTCATGTTTCCCACCAAAACTCCTTCTATCTACCAACTTATGTCACTGATGTTGTTCCCCAATTCCCCCTTCCTCTCTGCTTCATTTTTCATTGCACAGGAACTTGCAGCCATCTCAGACTGATACAGAAAGTTTGTCATATACATAAGGGTGTCTGGCCCTTATAAGAAACCTTTCAAGATCTCAAGTTAATATGAATCACTTTAGCAGGAAAGAAAAGATCCTTTAGAAAACAAAGCTACAAAGCCAAAGGACACTATCAGTACGTGAGGAGCAGGGTAGTATTTAATGGTCTTCATCATCACAGCACTGCCCTTAGCCAGCTATCCTACTCAGTGAACAAAAATGGTTCAGCTGTATTCCTAAAGACAACTTCCCTGAGGTTCCAGGAAATGCTCAGCACTCCTTTTGGAAAACACTAAGAACTTACCCAGAAAGTAATTAATTTTAGCTTTTCAAACAGTGACTTAGTCCCCAGCTTACAATCCCAATTGCATAAAGACAGCCTCCCTAAGGCACCCACTATCCACAACCCAATTGTCATAATTTATCTTCCTCCTCTAATACCAACTGTATTTCTTGTAAAGCCCATACAAACCACTCTGAAATGACACAGAGGACATGTAAAAATTAATTTTATTGATGCCCTTGCTGAAGGTTTTATTTGCACTGAACATGCTCATCAGTAATGTCACCTCAGCAGAAGGCCACCTGCTGTGGCATTCTTTACTTGCAGTGGAACTTGCCATTCCACAAGCACTCATCCACTGCAAGCGCCCACCATATGCAAACCAGAATGAAGTCTATCCTTCATTTAGCGTCGCCTTGTTCTGTTCACCAGGGTGAACTGTACATGCTGGAGTCCACAACCACGTGTGTGGTCACATATACAGCAGCTTAGGGACAAGTTCTGCTACCATAGAGAAAACACATTGGCATCTAGTGGCCAAAGCACCCACTACAGAACAGCATGAACAGTGCAGGTGCCTCTCACATCCTATTTATGCTGTACAGAGGGATGTAGCACAGGCTGGAATGGGCAGATATATGTACCAACAGAGATGGACCCAGTGTAGGTTTGAATCCACCTGCACAGCACCTGACTGGTACAGGAACTGGAATGAGGTAGGACAGCCAGGAACACTACAGAGATACCAGGTCACAATTATTTCAAAGAAAGACATCAATGAGCAGGAGAACAGCAATATCACCTTCATTTGCAATAGGCAAGCCGAAGCAAAAAGAAGTTCCAACCAGTTACTAGGACAGGGATTAGATTCATTCAGCCACAGCTTCAATTCCCATCAGAGTGCTGTGTCTCCAGAAAAATTCCCCTGTCTCTTCTCTGATTCCCCAAAGAAGCTAGGAGAATTCCTACCTTCAAATACTGGTAAAACGAGAAGCAGAATTATACTGAGATGGCACCACCCATCAGTTTCAAGATTTGAATGGATTTCAAGTCTATGTTCAGAGACTGAAGATACTTGATGACCAAGGCTGCTTATGAAACATCTAGAAAAAGCATCCACTTCTTCCCTTCCTCCCTCTGTGGTACTATCCCCAAGCTCAGGCTTCTCAACTTCCCATCCTGGGTGGAACAACCTACCCTTCCACTTCCACTTCATGCAGCCCCTTTGAAGCAGAACAGCTAGATGATCTCCCTGCTGCCAAGAACTATACAGCTCTCTACCCTAACACCCAGTGATGGAGAATGGCAGATGCAGGATCATCACACTGGGGTTCAGGTTTGTGGAAATTCAACTTTGTATCATCTACAAAGGGATAAAACCCAACCAAAATATAAGGAAGAGGAGTTACAAAGGGAATGAACCCCTATAATTTCCTGAAAGACAGCAAAATGAAGGTGATACAAACTTACTCAGTAATCCCAAGGGACCTGAACACCTCTCCCATCTGCTATTTTTCTAAATACTTCGGGATCATCTAGGGATGAGATGGTTTCAGGTCAAACTTACTTTTCCCTGCTTTCCAGCACTCTAAGTCTGTCCTGCTCATGCTACTACAGGCAAAGGAGCAACCCTGAAGAGATGGATGGGATAAGAGGCTGCATCCAACAGCCAGGGACAAGGGAAACAGGAAAGTGTTCTTCCTCACTGTGAGGATCCTCTAGGTTCGGACTTGGAACTTGCCAGCCTTAGTCATGTATTTTATCCCCTTGAATGGCTTGTACTTCTCCCCATACATGTCCAAGCGATTCACCTTCAGTCCTAAAGGCAAACAAACACAGCATAAGACTGACTGCTGCAGACAGGCCTTCACGGATAATGGGACAGAAGTTAACACTAGAGGTGCAGAAAGCATGAGAAAAGTTCTAGCAAGCAATACAGACACCAGAGA